GGGGGGGAATTTGGGCTAAAGCTGCAATAAAACAAATCGAGTCGATTTGAGCTCCATTAAGGTCACATTAGCGAGTGGCTTCGGGAGATAAGGGCTGATAAGGGGCTCAGACCACCAAGCTCCTGCCGGCCGAGGAGAGGAGGGGGGGGGACACACTGAGAGAGCCCCCACCAACCTGGCCCTGCCCACCGACAGCAGCTCTGAGCCCCACTTCCCTCCCAGTCTGTCCCAGTGCTGCCTCGGCGGGTGGGTGTTGAACTGGGAGAGCCCCCCCCTCCTCCCCAGGCAGGGCATGGAGTGGGGTCTGGGCCAGTTTGGGGAGTGGGACCGGGTCCTGGGAGCCCCATGGGGCAGTGGGGAGCCCCACTGGCCGTGGGGTGATGCTGGGCCTTATCTGAGCCCAGTGACCGGCGATTTCAATTAAAATTCCTGGCCGGCCTGAGGGGCTGGTGTTTGCTGATAGCCCTGACAGAGCTGAGCTCGTTTTTGTCTGGGTTGGGTCGGTGTCTCCGGCACCACCGAAATAGCCAAACCGGGCTGGTAGGGCAGGCTGAATAAATAAACTTCCCAAAAAGCAGGCGAGGAAGTGAGGGGCTGCAACAGGAGGGAAAATAAATACAGTGGCTCGGGGAGAAACGTGCTCACAGCTCCCTAGGTTGGTCCTTATTTTTGTGGAATTCATGGGTTCATTCCTGGGTCCTATAATCTGTGTTTTTGGCTGTCTCCCCCTTCGTGCCCGTGGGATGTCCCTGCTCTCTGTGCTGCCTTATTTGCCAGTGGAAAGAAGGAATTGTGACCAGAAACATGGTGAGAAAACACTGAGCTCACCTTCCCCAGGAGGGGGGTGATGTGGGGCGATGCCATCGCCAACCCACAGCTCTGCCCTCCTTCAGCATCTGCAAAATCCCTTTGGTTGGGGGGGGGTAAAGCTCAGGCTGTTTCTCTTGGCCTGCCCTCCTTGGGGAGCACTCAACCCTCTGAGATGCCTTCAAGTTGTGCTGCACCTTGCTGTGGGCCTGATCCTGCTCTTTATACACTTTGTAGGAGAGTGAAATGTTGTAGTGTGGCTTTTTTGCATGCTGAAAGGGTACCCGAAGGGATTTTATTTTTTAGGGGGTTATTACACTTGCTGCCCAGAAGTTCTAATCACAGAATCACAGAATCTTCTAGGTTGGAAGGGACCTTAAAGATCATCTTGTCCAACCGTCAACCTAACACTGACAAAAATAGACACCCACACAACAAACAAGGAGCATCATCACTAAACCAGACCTCCCAGCACTACATCAACCCGGCTTTTGAACACCTCCAGGGATGGGGCCTCAACCCCCTCCCTGGGCAGCCCATTCCAAGGGCTGAGAACCCTTTCAGTGAAAATTTTTTCCTAATATCCAGCCTGAACCTCCCCTGGTGCAACTTGAGGCCGTTTCCTCTTGTCCTGTCGCCTGTGACTTGAGAGAAGAGACCGACCCCCATCTCTCTACACCCTCCTTTCAGGGAGTTGGAGAGAGCAATAAGGTCTCCCCTCAGCCTCCTCTTCTCCAGGCTGAAGAACCCTATGCAGGAACACCCCTGCAGCTCATTTAAAGCCTCCTGCCCACGCCAGCCACCACAATTTCCCCTTGGCAGCCCTTCCCCATGGTCCCGAAGGACAAGGTGAGCTCCTGCCATCCCATCCTCCGAATCCGGGGCTGTGCAAAAGCCCCTTCCCCGTCTGGCTGGATTCATTGCCACGTTTAAATGGCTTGTTTGGGACTCTGAAACGCCAAAAGGCGAGAGCAAACAGACAGTAACATTACACCTTGGCTTGTTGATGGCGGGAGGCAGCCGGCGCCAAGGTAAAATGCTTGGCTGGGATCGAGACGAGCAGGAAGGAATTGGGGTAAGTAGCTTTATCCGCCCCTAATGACTCGGTGCGGGCCAGATTAATGGAGAGGCTGGAGTTTGGCTCTGGGAGCTGCGGAGAGACGAGGGGCTGGGTGGGTCAAGATGGGGGAGAGAGAAGGAAAATGGACCTTAACACCAGGCAGTGGGGCAGGATGAGTGGGGCAGGATCAATGGGGCTGCTCCCCATCCCTGTGCCCCCACGTCCGCATCCAGCCCTCCCTCTGACACATCCAGAGGCTGGGATGAAGCTTGTAAATCATCTCCGGGGGCAATTCCCTGCCAAATCCCCCTGCCAGGTCTGCCCAGCCCCAGCCCCTCTCCCTGCCCCGTGCCCAGGAGCTTTCCCAGTGCCGGGAATGTCGGCACCCACCAGGGATGAGGCCCTTCCTGCGGTGCTGGGGCTGAACCTCATCCCTCAGCCACCACTTTTTTGGCAGCGAGAGGCCCCTGGGGGATTTCTGGGAAGAAGACTAAGAGGATCTATCACAAGTGATCATAAATCATCGGTTTCTCTTCTCTCTATTTTTTTTTTTTTGACTGGCAAGTTAATTTTATTACAACTCTCCCGGGGCATTACTCCTCTTTTTAACTAGGTTAGATGAAATCAGGAGAAAGTGGCTCCCAGCCGCCATCGGGTGTTTAAAACGGGAGGATTTCTGTGGCAGCAGCACCAGCCCAGCTCCCAAAGTATCTGATTTCTGGCAGAGATCGCCGGGACGCGTCAGGATCCCGATGCGACGTCGGATGAGCATCCGAGGAAACATAAATCTGCCAGCCAGGAGCACGGAGGGGCAGCCAGCCCCCCCTTTCTCCTGCCCTGCCAGGAGGTTTGGGTTTTAAAATGCTCAGAACCAGGGAATATAGGGATATAATAAGAATATAATAGGAATATAATAGGAATATAATGGGAATATAATGGAAATAATGAGTGAGGTGGGTGCATCGGGGGGGTTGCAAGCACAGAGCACGTGTAGAGACATCTCTCAGGAGTTTGCAAATGCTTTGGCGCAGCTGAAATTAAACTTAAAAAGGGTTTTCTGCAGCCTCTTCCTGTTTTCCCAGCTATTTTCTGTCCTTTTTCATCAGAAAAAGAGGAAAAGATGGAAGCGACGGCAGCGACTGAGCAGCAGGCGGGTGAGGGAAAGCAGATTTCCCCCTCCAAAGCTTTCTAATAAACATTAGAAGTTGGGGGGGGGGAGCAGAAAAATGTGCTTCTTTTCAGAATCCGTGGGATAAAAATAACTTTGGAACTTTTAGCAAGTTTTCATGGTGAATTCTCTTTGCTGGCTGCGGGAGGAAGGCCACATCTCCGGGGCGCTGGCAAGGACCTGGGCAGGGGGGGAGGACACCTCGATGTGACAAAGCACAGGTCAGATGGGGACAAGGCTGAATCACCAAAATTGGGCCAAACTCTCATCTCCTGCTCTTTATTTATATCTTTCCTCCCCCCCCATTTTAGCCAATTCTTTCCCTTTCCTGGGTGAGTACCAGGAAGATGGGGCCGGTCTTTTTTCAGTGGTGCCCAGGGACAGGACAAGAGGAAATGGGCACAAACTTGAAGATAAGAAGTTCCACCTCAACTTGAGGAGGAACTTCTTCACTTTGAGGGTGGCAGAGCCCTGGCAGAGGCTGCCCAGAGAGGTGGTGGGGTCTCTTTCTCTGGAGACATTCAAGCCCCCCCTGGACATGTTCCTGTGGGACCTGCTCTGGGTGGCCCTGCTCTGGGAGGGGGTTGGAGGAGATGATCTCCAGAGGTCCCTTCCAACCCCATATGATTCTATGATTTTTGAGACAAACCAGTGCTTCCCTGGTGTCCTGCTCCGCTCTTGGTTGCTCTGTTGGGCTGATTCTATGATTTTTGAGACAAACCAGTGCTTTCCTGGTGCCCTGCTCCGCTCTTGGTTGCTCTGTTGGGTTGGGGTTCACCACCTTTTTTTTTTTTTAAAAATCTATTATTTCTGGTTTTTTGGGGGACCTGTTGAAATCGGGGGGATTACATGGGGAGAGGGCCTGGGTGAAAGAGGGTTTTTTTTTATTTTATTTATTGTGCCAGAAGAAGTTGGGAATTGACTTAAAAACCCCTGTAGCAGAGCCCTGGCCCAAACCTTTAGGCAGCAGTGCCCTCTGCTTGGACACCAGAGATGTGCAGCTCCATTTCTCCCCAAAACTCCAAAGCAGAGCAGCGAAAAGGAGGGGAAAAACATCTCCCCCCCAACGCTGTCACAGAGGAGTGGGTCAGCGGTGGGTACGGGGGAGGAATTGTGGAGCTTTGGGGGTTTTGCTGTGTCACCCTCGGGAGATAAAAATACCGCTGGGCGTTAGGAGCGTCCTCGCCCGTCTTTTAAGTTATTTTTAAAATGGGATTATTTTGGTGAAGTGTCATGAATAATTCAGTAGCGTCCTCGCCCGTCTTTTAAGCAGGGGAGTTATTTTTAAAATGGGATTATTTCGGTGAAGAGTCATGAATAATTCAGCGTCTCCCCGTGCGGGCAGATGGAGGAAATCTGAACTGGGAAAAATTACATTCTGGGGACTTGTCTGTCGCTTTTCCTCAGGAGACAGCTGGAGGGAGCGTCCTCCCTCAAACCATGGGGGCTACCTGCCCCTTTCCTTGTGGATTCCTGTGATGAAGAGTCAGACCCCCTCCTGGTTTGCAGTGGGGAGATGGATTTCTACCCGTGTGGGGGTCACTGGGCTGGAGGGAGCGTCCTCCCTCAAACCATGGGGGCTACCTGCCCCTTTCCTTGTGGATTCCTGTGATGAAGAGTCAGACCCCCTCCTGGTTTGCAGTGGGGAGATGGATTTCTACCCGTGTGGGGGTCACTGGGGATGGTCCCTCTGGACTGGGCACTGGTGAGACCCCACCTCGAGTGTTGTGTTCAGTCCTGGGTCCCTCACTCCAAGAAGGACATTGAGGTGCTGGAGCGTGTCCAGAGGAGAGCCACCAAGCTGGGGAGGGGTCTGGAGAACAAGTCACACGAGGAGAGGCTGAGGGAACTGGGCATGTTTAGTTTGGAGAAGAGGAGGCTGAGGGGAGACCTCATTGCCCTCTACAACTCCCTGACAGGAGGGTGTAAAGAGGCGGGGGTTGGCCTCTTCTCCCAAGGGAATAATGACAGGAGCAGAGGAAATGGTCTGAAGTTGGGGCAGGGGAGGTTTAGATGAGATATTTGGAAGATTTACTTTACTCTGAGAGTGGTCAGGCCCTGGAACAGCCTGCACAGGGAGGTGGTGGAGTCACCATCCCTGGAGGGATTTAAGAAACGTGTAGACATGGCTCTTCAGGGCATGTTCCAGTGCCCGAGATGATTGGTTTGTGTCTCTTTGTGGTTTGTTTGTGTGGGTTTCTTTCTTTTTCTTTCTTTTTTTTTTTTTTTTTTTTTTAGTCCAGCCCTACAAATTCACTTTTTTTTTTTTTTTTTTTTTTTTTTTTTTTTTTTTTTTGTGGTTGGACTTGATGGCCTCAAAGGTCCCTTCCAACCATGAGGATTCTGTGATTCTGTGGTGGCAGAGCCCGGGCTGAAGATGCTGAGGGAGAGCAGAGTCTCCCCATGGAGGTTTCGCAGCCGCTGAGCTGCTCCTTCCCATCGTTTGGACTCGTCAGGGTCAGGTTTAGGGTTGGATGCAACGACCTCAGAAGGTCTTTTTCCAACTTAAATGACTCTGTGATTCCATACCTGGAGGTTTTGGCCAGATCATTCCCTTTTCCACCCTTTTTCCACCTGCAAAACCAGCTGGGGTGCAGCCATGCCCCGTCCCATTCAGTGGCCATAGGGATGATGACCAAAGAGCAGAATTGTGTCTTCTTTGGGTTTTCTGGGATTTAGCCAAATTCCCAGAGATGCTTTCAGGTCTGGGTTGGGCAGGGGGCGGCGGGGGGAGAGTGGTAAGGAGAGGGCAGGGGGCAACTGGGGGCTGGTGGTGGGGAGAGGGTGGGTAAGGACAGGGCAAGCGGGGGTGGTGGGTGCTGGATGGTGGGTGCTGGATGGTGGGTTCTGGATGGTGGGTGCTGGATGGTGGGTGCTGGGTGGTGGGTGCTGGATGGTGGGTGCTGGATGGTGGGTTCTGGATGGTGGGTGCTGGATGGTGGATGCTGGGTGGTGGGTTCTGGGTGGTGGGTGCTGGATGGTGGGTTCTGGATGGTGGGTGCTGGATGGTGGGTGCTGGATGATGGGTTCTGGATGGTGGGTGCTGGGTGGTGGGTTCTGGATGGTGGGTTCTGGATGGTGGGTGCTGGATGGTGGGTGCTGGATGATGGGTTCTGGATGGTGGGTGCTGGGTGGTGGGTTCTGGATGGTGGGTGCTGGATGGTGGGTGCTGGGTGCTGGGTTCTGGGTGGTGGGTGCTGGATGGTGGGTTCTGGATGGTGGGTGCTGGATGGTGGGTGCTGGGTGGTGGGTTCTGGGTGGTGGGTGCTGGATGGTGGGTTCTGGATGGTGGGTGCTGGATGGTGGGTGCTGGATGATGGGTTCTGGATGGTGGGTGCTGGGTGGTGGGTTCTGGATGGTGGGTTCTGGATGGTGGGTGCTGGGTGGTGGGTGCTGGATGGTGGGTTCTGGGTGGTGGGTGCTGGATGGTGGGTGCTGGGTGGTGGGGCCACCCTTTGGTCGGCAGATGGCACAAGAGCCGTGGCTGAGCCTCGGGCAGGGAGCGGAGCTGCTGGGAGAACAGAAATTGGGGGGGGAAAAGAGAAATGCATCATCCTGGAGCTGGCTGAAGAGTAAGGGCAGAGCAGGAGGAACCACGGGGTGACCGACCCCTTCCAGCCTCCTCCACAGCTCCCAGTGAGTCCCAGCAGGAGCCCAGTCTATGGTCTCTCCCACCAGTAGCTCCGTTGGGGTTGGAGCATCCCAAATTTATCCTCTGGCTTCCCGCAGCTGCATCCCGCTGCTTCCTCGGCTATTTGGGGGGGAGCCAAGGGGCTAGTTATCCCCCCCCCACCAAGGAGCCGGGGAGGGGGGGCTGAGGGGGCTGGTGAGGATGGTGGAAACCAAAAAAACCCCTGGCTACAGCAAGAGAAATAGGGTGAGATGTGGTGGGAAATGTATGGGGTGTTTGGGATGCGACCGCTCCTTGGGGAAGGGGGGGATTTGGGCTGTGCCTCTTTGATGCTGGGTGTGCAAAGCAGCTGGTGCCCCCCCCCCCCTTCCAGCAGTGCAAATGGGGTGTAACCCCCCCCAACACCCTCTGAGCCACAGGGGAGAGGGGTTTCAAAACCCCCCGTGTGTGGGATGGGGGTAAAACTGAGCTCCGTTCTCCCCCGACCTCCTAATTCCACCTCCCCGAACCTCAAACCTCCACATCCTCCCTTAAAAAAGGATGGGGGGGGAAGGTAGGGGGGGTGTTCCTCCATCACCCCTCTCTCTCCCCCTGTCCCCAGCACGAGCTGCCCCGTGGTTTGCAAACATCAAGCTCTGCACAAGTGTTCTTTATTATTGGCTGTGACAGGCTGGGTTAAGTGGGCGGCCGGGGCCTGGCAGACGTGCCTGGGTTTGCTTTCTGCTTTGGAACAACTCTGGGGCTCGCCACATCTGTTGGGTTTGGGTTTTGTTTTGTTTTGCTTACAAACCTTTCTTTCTTTTTTTTTTTTCTCTTTTTTTCTTTTTTTTTTTTTTTTTTTTTTTAGTGGGAG